CTGGTCTCAGAGTCCTTCAGGCACTGGGTGATGAGGGCAGAGCGACGCTTAGACAACAGCAGGAACTGCTTTATGCACTACAGAGCAGAACAAAGTTTGAGGAAAGAGTTAATAAAGAGAGTTTGGCATGGGGTGTGCGATATGCCATTATTAGATTGTGAGTGATTAAAATGTCTCCAACATTTGCCTCATGCTGCACATTCTATCTGTTACAGTTTTTTTTGATTATCATCTCTATCACGGTTACTCTCACGTGACATTACGTTTTTTCATCATCACGAAAGTTTATTATTTGCATGCGATTTAAAGCCTTGCCAGTTTAAACTTCTGATATACAAACAGGACACACTTGTCCTAGAAAAGAGTACTAACTTTGATCTGGTTGAATGTTCCAAGGCTGTAGTCCCAGGCAGGCACCATATGTGGCAATAGACTGTCCAGGAGTGTGATGAACCTAGACACAAAAAAACAACACTGAGAGTCGACAAAAGCTCACATATAGGCCTTACCAAATCACATATTGCTGGGTGTTACCTCTGAATGACCAGAGCACGGCGATAGAGGACATCAGGAGGAGTGCCCTCCAATCTCGGGTAGCGCACTAGGTTGGGAGACTGGAACACGTCTGCGTTGAGGCCCAAGTCACGCTCGCAGGACGATTTGATCTTTAGACCCCTGATCCGTACATCGATTCCCTCATCTACAGGAAAATATAATGACAAGAAATATCTAAGAATCGAGATGAACAGTCATGAGGCTTTGTCTTTCAGATGACAGCATGTCATGTCAGATTAATCTTACCTCTGCATTCCTCAATCCTGATCTCTATGACAGGCAAATGTGATGTCATGTCCTCCAGAACACAAACCTCTCCTATTAAGTTGCTATGAGAGAAATAAAGCCATACTGTTGCAATATTCAAAACTTTATATAGCTTTTACATATTTATAACTTGAAAATGGTGCTACTAATATAGCATGAGCATATACATATAAAATGATAACTGGCCCCAAAAACTGGACTTTTAAACCACACATAAAATGTATGAAAGTTATTGAATTAGATAACAAAATAACAAAGAGAAATTAAAAATGTAAATATCCCAAGCACTCTTTACAAACAAAACACTGCACCAAAAACGTTTAGTAGGCTTTAAATAATAAAACACATTACTTACTCATCTATTGTTACATCACTGCATTTCTTGAGATTATCTCCCTCTCCACCATATACAGTCACTCTTTTGGGCATGTAGTTATCATCTGTTGAGTCCACTGTTAATATCAGTTTGCTAAAGGAAGAGAAAATAAAATAATTTATGTTTTTATGTTCAAAGTTTATAATCTGACTCAAATACATTCAGATCAAATATGATGTTTACAAACAGATGATGTTTGAATCCAATAAAAATCTGATTTTTTGGAATGCGATCAGATCGGATTTCATACGATGTAGACACACCGAATATTGACAACACGGTCTGAGCAAACTCTGATTTCAGACAGTCAGTCTCAAAGGTTCGGATTTGATAACCAAACCAGGTTTGAGTGCATTGTGAACAAAGTCCATGGTAATTAGAGTGACTAGCAAATCAGTTGTCCTTACTTGACCACAGTGCCTCTCTTCATGTGCAGACGGATCCAGTGCTGTCCCTGCATGCCATCGCTCTCCCAGAATGTCTCAGTGTCTCCATCTGTCAGGCAGCTTGCACCACCACTGGGGTCCTCCTTCAAACATAAAAACTCTCATTTACTACTAGTACTACTTAGAACTAGTCTAGAACATCTGATATGTTCACTCACAGCCATCTGCCCTCCACTATTACACAAAATGATACTAAGCCCTCACATACCGAACTAGAAGACACATCAATGCTGGTCACGCATTGCTTCACACTGCCAAGATTTTCATCTTCCTTCCCAATGTGGTCGTAGAAGTAGTGTACAAGGTCCTCATCACATTCAAACATCCATGTAGGAGGGACATACCTGGAAGACAGAGATTGCCTCACAGAATTAGGGCAGATCTGGGTCAATATCATGATGCTATTTTTTTTCTGGATCTAATCATTTATTCAAAAAATGTAATTCATACTGTACATAAAATTATTTTAGTTTTTATTTTAACTTTACTTGAATACACCTCTTCTACAAAAGCATGTTTTTTAATATTCTGATATCATATTGAAGAAAACAGGCTCATTAAAAAAAAAAAATATATATATATATATATATATATATATATACATTTTTTTGGCCATAGATTTGATTATTCTTAGAAAAAATTATTGAAAACTGCTTATTATTAATATTAGAAAATATTAATTAGACTAAAACAGGAAATATCACAGAGAGTTTTGTTTAATTATATTATAGAGAATTGTTTTGCCATTTTTAAATTTTTGTGTCAGAGCATCCATTCACCTCAGCTTTCGAACAGCGGCCTCGTCCGGCTCGGCAACCTTGGGTTTGGCACCCATGTGTAAGGAGTTTTCCACATCCACCACCTGCTCCCACCTACAAAGCCGTTAAGGAAAAATGTTGGTTATTTATATCCGTTGAATCGTCAGAATTTTTTTTTTTACTATCAACAGTTTTATATGTACATACACGCATTTCACATTGACAATCAATTGAAGTACTGAGCCGTAACTAAACTGAATATGTCAGACTTCCAAGTTAAATTTGAATGGCAGCTTATTTTATAATAGTTGATTGAAGTGTTACTTTAAAGTCTCTTATGCTCACTAAGGCTGCAATTATTTGATAAAAAACAGTAAAAACAGTAACATTGTGAAATATTATTACAAATTAAAATAAATATGTTCAATATTTTAATATAATATTAATAACTAATATATATTTTAAAACGTAATTTATCCCTGTAATGGCGAAGCTGAATTTTCATCATCATTACTCCAATCTTCAGTGTCACATGATCCTTCAGAAATCATTCTAATATGATGTTTGCTGCTCAAGAAACATTTCTAATTACTGTCAATGTTGAAAACAGCTGTTTAATACTTTTGTGGAAACAATTTTTCATGAATATTTGATGAATAGAAAGTTCAAACGCACAGCTTTTATTTGAAATAGAAATCTTTTGTAACATTTTGAAATTTGTATCCCCCTGCCTTCTGGCTGGAGATATAGATGTGTAGAGAGGCCAGGTATAGTAAGAGTTTTGTTCTTGTATCTATACGAGCTCTAAACACATAGGAAATCAGCCATGGATATGTCATCTTATGCTCTCTCTATTTTTTGTGATGTCTGTGATTGTATTATGATATGTCGATAATTTAACATGTTATGCATTGTCTGTGTAATTTACGCATCTACATTGGAAACTTATTTCCTCTCGAGGACAAATAAAACTATATCTATCTATCTACCTATCTATCTATCTTTAATGTCACTTTTGATTAATTGATGCATCACTGCTGAATACAAGCAATTATCTTTAAATAAATAAATGTACTTTTGAATGTCAAAATTGTGCTCACAATTTAAAGATTCACAGTGTAAGTTTACATGGATCAGGGAAATAGAGAATGGTGGACATTTCAAATTTCACAAACCTGCTACAAGGCTTGTGGTCATAGCCAAAGAGCTGCTGTTGGCGGCTGATGGTTTCGGGAGATTCCACCGGAACAAGTCGGTCTCCACCTTCTGTGTGTTTACACACCAGGATCCAGCCCTCCTCTATATCCAGACCAGCACGATACTCCTCCAGCTGCTCCTGTGATGGACAGAGCACTCAAACAATCAGAGGGACAAACAAAACAGGCTGACTCTCATTTGAATGTCCATTGAGCTGAAGAGTGGAAGATTCCGGGAGCCACACCAACAGATTACAAGCAGTGACGTCATGAACCAGGAAGTCCCGTGTATTCTGATATCAATAATGATACAGCAGATCAATAAGAATATCGTCTGACTCTGACACCAGTTCCAGGCAACACCTAATCATACATATAAATGTTCTACCTTGCTTATTTTGACCCACAGGCCATGGCCGTTGCAGTACTCCTCCCCTGTTGTCCGTATACATGTCGATTTCTTGGGCTCGATGTTGCACTTGCATGATTTCTTGTGTGGCGCCTGATGCGGGCTCTCCCTCACCGACACCACGCTTTTGCCACCTGAGTTGCCAGCTGTTGACGAGGACGCGGAAACGGAGCCCGACGACGAATCCTTACAGATTTTGTAGCAAACCTCTTTCGGCACGTAACACAGGGACTCCGGCAGATGTTCACTCTTTCTGAAACATTCAATGCATTTGTTTAAAAAGCGTATTCTCCCCAGGAGGATGTTGGAGTTGACGTCCGGAGACATTCCCTCCTCAAGTTTGAGTGCGCTAGCCGGAAAGCTATCTGAGGATGTGTCAAAACTGAGCAGTTCGGCCGTCAGCAAGCATTACACTCGCATATGCTTGTCATTTTTTACCTGTCTGTCCGCTTTTATTGAGATACGATGTAATAAACGAACAGTACGACAAAAGACTAGATACAGTTAAGCATTTTTACTAGCGACAGAGCTACGTATACTGGCATCTGTCAAGACAGCTATGTCACCAGTCTAAAGGGCGACCCGCCCATGTGTGTGCTCCCCCCTACTGGAAAGACTGTTACACTCCACTCATTTTGGTTTATTATTTTTCTTCTTCATTTTAAAGTCATAACGTTTTTAAATCCTACCTTTTTAAATAAGCATTAGGATTATTTAAATAATTTAATTAAGATTGGATGGGGTCTCGTACTATCCAAGCAATCCCTCTATACATTTATTTCATTTATACAATTGTATTTATCAAGTATATGAATAAATTAATTGATGTCGTATTAAATACAGAAAAGAAGGTTGAAGGTTATTTCTTTAACATATTATTAATAAGATTATTGAGGACACGCTTTTCCTCAGTTTGACAGACTAATGGTCTTGAGGATTAAAAAAATCTTCATAAAAAGATCTAATATTTTTATCATTGGGGTTTTATAACAAAAGTAGGGCAAAAGTCACTAGAGCGACGGTGCTAACCTCACGTGATAAAACAGAGGTCGTTGATTGGTTGGCATTTCATGATTTCTGTTTGGTGAACATTGTAAGGGCATTGAAGGATCTGAGCTGCTGCAGCTGAGAAATAGCGATGCTTTTTAACAAGGTAAATACACATTTCTCCTGACGTATTTGCGAACAGTAACTCTTTTGCATATGCATGCCATTTTATTTGTTTCAAATCTAAATTCTGGTGAATTTGAGAGCTAGCTAGCCTAACGCTAGGCTGTTAGATAAGCTGAATTCCTAGTCGACGAACAACTAACTTAGTCTACGCAGTTAAGAGATAATATCATTACATCTGGGATCATGAAGTTTTTGTGATAAGTTTATTGATTAATGTGGTGAAGTTTTTGCTCTTCTCATTTTGTAACCCTGTCTTGCCTGGCAGGATATAAACCTTGTCTTGGCATACTGTACTGCAAATATACAGTATCATACTTTTGCCAAATTCATTCTATATTAGAATTATATTATTTTTAAATTAGATTTTATTAAATTAAGATGACCGTGATTAAATGCAATATGTATAGGTTAAATTGTGGATTATTTGTATGACGTAATTTTATCGTGGTAAATCTTTAAAATCGTCTGGTCAGTGTAGACATTTGTAATGATCTGTATTTAATCATTGTCCAACAGGTTTTGAGGGCAGGTGTTCAGGCTGGACTCAGGTTTCAGAGTTCTGGCCCTCAAGCTAGTGCCAAAGCAGCGACTGCCAGCTTGAAGGGAGCTCATGGAGGCTTTAGCTTTGGTATGTATGTATGATCATCCTATGATTATAATGTTACTTCTGCTCACTGTGTTTTCAAAAATGCCAAAGCACCATTACACCATCTCAACACACTATTCCTCAAATTTAACAGAATTAACTGACCAGCAGAAAGAGTTCCAGGAGTTAGCAAGAAAGTTTGCACGAGAGGAGATTGTCCCAGCTGCCCCATCATATGATAGAAGTGGTGAAGTAAGTTATTTAAATCTACCTTTCCACCATAATACATATTTTGATTTACATAAATTGTAATTGGTGATTTCCTCCTGGCAGTATCCATTTCCTCTCATTAAGAGAGCATGGGAGCTGGGTCTAATGAATGGACATATTCCTGAGGACTGTGGTAGGTACTTTAAGGTCCTAGCATTATTGAGTGACCTATAGGCTGATGCCCAAAATTATCATTCTGTCATCATTTACTCACCTTCATGTCATTCCAAATCCAAACCTAAACAAAAAAGCAAAAAAAAAAAAATCCATTAAGCATAAAGATATTTTAATAATCTACTGTTTGCTAGTTTCCATGCAGTTATACCATAAAAGTATCATAAAAGTAGTCCATATGTATAAAGCCACACGAAAGCTGTGTGTAAAGTACATCCTGACATTTAAGATGAAATGCAGCGTGAAAGTCAAATGGAACCCTTTTATATTACTTTTATGGCAGGGGTTTTCAAAGTGGTATCCGGGGGTGCTAGGGGGTCCCTGGAAATGTAAAATAAGTAAATGATTGAATAAATAAATGCATTTAAAAAAAAAAAAAGAAACTTAATAGAAACAAAACATTTTCCAGATAATATTTTTACTTTATTAAAAAAATATATTTCATAGTACAAATTAAGTATCCGAGGAACTATATAGATGCCTTTTAAATCTTAGGATGGGTGTCCCTTGCTTGAGGATGATAATATTTGGGGGTCCATTGCATCTACCCCTGCTTTTATGGTGCTTTTTATGTCATTTTAGAGCTTGGCAGCCTCAGGCCTCCTTTCTTTTTATATATCAAAGTGAAATACCCAAGATATTCTTTAATTTAAGTCAGAGGAGTTTGGATCAACATGAGGACAACTATTCTTTTAATTCTGACCATGTTGGATATTGCAATATGTTCCAGGTGGAATGGGTCTGGGCATATTTGATGCCTGTCTCATCACAGAGGAGCTGGCCTTTGGTTGCACTGGTGTACAGACAGCCATTGAGGCAAACTCTCTGGGAGTAAGTGGAGTTTAAAATAGGACCTTATTTTTGAGTGTGATTCATTTAATAATTATATTAAATGGTCATTTTTTCCCCATGCAGCAAATGCCAGTCATTATTGCTGGTAATGATGCCCAGAAGAAGAAATATTTGGGCAGAATGACAGAAGAACCTCTAATGTGTGTAAGTTTGGCATCATTTTTCTAATCATCAATATTTATGAAGCTTTCCCTTAGCAATAGTAAGTACATAGATACACGCTTTTGCATGTGACCGTGTTGACAGGCGTACTGTGTGACCGAGCCGGGAGCAGGCTCTGATGTGGCTGCGATAAAGACCCGGGCTGTGAAGAAAGGAGACGAGTATGTGGTCAACGGTCAGAAAATGTGGATCACCAATGGAGGAAAAGCGAACTGGTAGGTGAACTGCTTTGGATTCATAACTATTTTTGAGTCAATTATAAACCTTTTTGTTTGCATTTAAAGGTACTTCCTCCTGGCCCGCACAGATTCCGATCCCAAATGTCCTACTAGCAAGGCTTTCACAGGCTTTATTGTTGAAGCTGACACCCCAGGAGTCCAGCCTGGCAGAAAGGTAAGAGCTGCTGACAACCGCAGTCTGATGCACTCAGACGATACTTAAACACTATATTAATACCACTTTGAGATTTTTTCATTATTTGCTTATGTCTACATTCTTCTGTTTAACAGGAACTGAACATGGGCCAGAGATGCTCAGACACCAGGGGCATCACGTTTGAGGATGTAAGAATCCCGAAGGAGAATGTTTTGATTGGAGAAGGAGCCGGCTTCAAGATTGCCATGGGTGCCTTTGACAAGACCAGACCACCAGTAAGAGTCCTTTTGCAGTTATTACTGTACTTCTAACAAATTGCAGTTGGCTAATCACATGTCAACCACATCTTGATGCTTTTCAGGTGGCTGCTGGTGCAGTGGGACTTGCACAGAGAGCACTGGAAGAGGCCACAAAGTATGCTTTGGAAAGAAAGACTTTTGGCAAGTTTATTGCTGAGGTGGGAATATGTTTGACAACCTAAACTGATACTATGAAGTTAATACAGTAAATTCTAAAATAAATCTACTTAATTGTACAGTAAAAATAATGAATAAGCTGCTTCTGTTTTCTGACCCCCAGCACCAGGCAGTGTCATTCCTTCTGGCTGAAATGGCCATGAAAGTGGAGCTTGCCAGGATGGCCTATCAGAGAGCAGCTTGGGAAGTGGATGAGGGCCGCAGGAACACCTACTATGCTTCGATTGCCAAGGCCTTTGCTGGAGACATTGCAAACCAGTGTGCCACTGATGCCGTCCAGATCTTTGGTGGGAACGGTTTCAATAGTGAATATCCTGTGGAGAAGCTGATGAGAGACGCTAAGATTTACCAGGTTAGGATTGTAGACCTTTATTAATTTGTTCATTTTTAAAGATGCTAAAATTTGATTAATGGCTTATTGTCTGAATCCACAGATTTATGAAGGGACTGCTCAAATCCAAAGGCTCATCATCTCAAGAGAACATCTTGGGAGATTCAAACAGTGAACCTGTAAACCCAGGACTTCCATGCCAAGAGCTAATCGTTTGGTTTAGCATATTTTTGTACACGATGATGTATTTGATCAATAGATCTCAGGATTGTATCTAATCGATTGTAAATTGCCTACACAGAACTCACTTTGCCTTATGTCATATCAGCATGCCTTGCCGTCTTTGTGTTTGTAGCGTTAAACAACTAAGTTGATCAAATGTTAAGATGACAAATGTTAAACTGCTTTGCAGAGCTCAACATCAAATATTTCTTCTTAACAAATGTTAAGCTGAACAAAGTTAACATGGTTACAGAGCTCTTTCTGAATTTTTTTGTAACTGATTACGTCCTCAAAATAAAAAAAATAAAAAATCTGCTTTGAAAAAGTGTCTTTTCTTGCCCTAATGATTGTGGCCAGTAGTAGAAACTGTATTTACATTTTAATTGCAAAATTAAAAAGTAATTTAGCTGTGTCCTACATTTCGTGTGACCTAATGATTTGCCCCATTATGAAAAATGTAATACAAATTGTGACTCAAGAAGTTATGTTGGGTAAACAAGTAAAAAAACTAAATTTCTAATCACTTCCTATTGCAAAAAAATTATAATATATATATATATATGAATTTTGTTTTGATATAGGAAAAAATACCCCAATAAAAAAAAAATGTGTAATGTTACCCGCATTTTTTTTTTATTAGAAAAAGGTAGGAATCCCACAAATCACTATTTTAAATTGTTTTTAAATTTAAACGTCTAAGTTACAATTTTGCTAACAGCTTGCAACCCCCTTAGAAAATAAATAAACTATAAAAACGGCTCATAAAACTAGTTCAGCATAACAATATATGTTGTTCAGATTATGACAATAATCTGGAGAAAAAATGTTAAGGACAACCTATCTTGCTTTCTCCACTTTGTGACATAATGAGTGAATATAAACGTCTGTTTAGAAGATGCGAATGCAGAATCGCATAACGTCACCAGTAAATGTTTTTTTGTCCTTCACGAGCACCCGTAGAAATGGCGAGTAATGTGATGATGTACAATGTGTGTGGCTGCTGAAGTACGCCTGTAGTCCTCTCTTACGTCTCCGCCAGGATGGTAATGTAAAACACAGTACTTCGCTTTTATAGTTATTTAATTGTGTATCAAATAATGTTTCCCCCGTAAAGAAAGGGCATGCGATTGTGAAGAAAACAGCGCACATTAAAAGACGATTGCAGCATGTCATGTCATACGCCCAGTCAATTCAGCACAGTTTACAGTCTGAGCTAAAAGGAATGTACCAGACTGCTGTTTTTGAGCTTATTGTCAGAAAGTGACAACTATTTTTTTCTTTCAGGGAACCCAGGTTAAAGACGTGATCATTAAACCTGATGCTCCAAACACTCTCCTCCTAGAAAAGCATGCAGACTATATTGCAGTCTATGGCTCCAAGAAGGATGATTATGTAAGTTGATGGCTTATAAAAATACACACAAAAAAAATGTTTGCCCTTCAATTAATTAACTAAATTGGATGTTAATTCCCATGAATTTCGCACCGGCTCTTGCAGGAGTACACGCTGTCAGAGTACTTGAGAATGAGTGGCATCTACTGGGGTCTGACAGTAATGGACCTGATGGGTCAGCTCTCTCGAATGAACCGTGAGGAGATCATAGACTTCATCAAGTCCTGCCAGCACGACTGTGGAGGCATCAGCGCCAGCATCGGCCACGACCCTCATCTTCTCTACACCCTCAGTGCTGTACAGGTCAGCAGGAATCGGCAAGAAACTGAAGTTGTCATTGTCTTCTTTTATTTATATTTATATATTGTGACGTATATCCAAGGGAAACTTCTTTCTGAACAAGAAAAAAATGTGGGGCGGGAATTGATTTTGTCCATCGGGAATTGATTGGATCGTTGGATTGTTGTGGTTTGCTATTGGTTGATCTCATGTGAGTGACAGGTACCGCCCTCACGCCAGTAAACACGTCGTCAGAGAAGAGATTTCGCAGCAAGAGGGAGGGGGAGTTATTTTGATTAAAGATTATGAGGGCTCATACTTTTTCTTTTTTTAAATAACGAAATGCACAGATTATTTCTAATAAATGCTGCAATATTCCATACAAGGCCACCATAATGATTAATAAATGGCTGTACAAAGATTACTACACAGAAGTGGAAATTCATGGGGGGAATTTCTTTTTTTTCTTTTTTTTAGATCCTGTCCTTGTATGATTGCATTAATGTCATGGATGTGGACAAAGTGGTGGACTATGTTAGAGGACTGCAGCAGGAGGACGGCTCATTCGCCGGGGACAAATGGGGTACATTTATATATTTTTTTTTTCTGTCTTTAGTTAAATAAACAACATTTAAATGGTACATGACTACATGAAGGCCTGTTTTTTTCCTTAACAGGTGAAATAGATACACGGTTTTCCTTTTGTGCGGTTGCGACATTGGCACTACTGGTCTGAATTCTTTTGCATTCAATATTATATTCAATTGCCTTTTATGGTGTTTCCTGCAACCTTTGAAGGCTTTAAATACATATAACAAGACTCATTTCTCTGTAGGGCAAGTTGGATGCTATCAACATGGACAAGGCCGTTGAGTTTGTGCTGTCCTGTATGAACTTTGATGGTGGGTTTGGTTGTAGGCCTGGTTCAGAGTCTCATGCTGGTCAGGTGAGATATTTGTGGTTGTTATGCCCTTTTAGTGTATTTGTAAGTGATGCTCTGTCTCTCAGTCATGTTTTTCTCATCCTGTCTTCAGATTTACTGCTGCACAGGTTTCTTGTCCGTCACTGGGCAGCTTCATCAAGTAAATGCAGATCTGTTGGGCTGGTGGCTCTGTGAAAGACAGTTGCCATCAGGAGGCCTGAATGGGAGACCAGAGAAGGTAAGATGTCTTGTAGATCATAGGTATTCATGAAAAATAACTTTGTTAATTAATATCATATAAAAGTGTTAAAAGAATAAAAAAAACCTAAATGGTATTACAGATGAAATGACATTGGTTCTCATATTTTCTATCAATGCTGGATAGTATGATTTAATCTGATTTTTGACTATCATTCTGCATTCTGCTCAGGAAGAGAGCATCTGATCCAGTCATTGTTGCGGGATCATATATATAGTATATTATGGTATAATTGTCTCTTTTAAGTGTTTTGTATTATATTGTATTTTGTATTGTCTGTTATTGTTTCTTTTCTAATGGACCTTGAGTCTGGAAATAAAGTTGAATTGAGTACAATTTGTGGTGTTATAAAATATTAAAACTGAACCGTATAGCCTATTGAAACTAAATAAAAATAATACAAATATTTTTTTAACTATTTAACAAATCAATTAAATGAAATTTATGTTTACACCTTAAAACTAAACTGAAATTGACCAAATAAATAAACAAAATAAAAAATAATGACATTTTCACAACTATGTCCTAGATACTATGTTATATCTGAAAGAGCAAATACAACTGTGGATGATTTTATTTTTTTTCTAATTTCAGCTGCCTGATGTCTGCTATTCCTGGTGGGTTCTTGCGTCTTTGAAGATCATTGGCAGAATTCACTGGATTGACAAAGCGAAACTGCGCAATTTTATTCTTGCCTGCCAGGATGAAGAGACTGGAGGGTTCGCTGACAGACCTGGAGACATGGTAAGCTCTATGGAGTTTGTCACACAGAAATGTTGCATATGCGTAAATATTTCGCTTGTTATTTCTATAGGACTTACCATTCTTTAAACAGATCTTATCAGTCTCTGCAGTTCATTGTTATGAGTATAATGTATATTTTTCATTCGTCTTTCTGTCCAGGTGGATCCTTTCCACACTCTGTTTGGTGTGGCTGGTCTGTCTTTGCTGGGAGATGAGCAGATCAAACCGGTGAACCCTGTGTTTTGCATGCCCGAGGATGTGCTTCAGAGAATTGGCCTCCAACCAGACTTGCTGAGCTAAGTTTACATGTTCAGCATGGCCGTTTTACACTTCTCCTTCACCTGCACAGCCAGCCCAGTTTTAAAACGAGCAAACCGTGGAAAGCTCTCATCTACAACTAACGATCGGCACACCTCTTAGAGGGACCAAGGATTTAGAAAAACATTGTGTGCTTTTGTTCAGAGATTTGTTCTGGTCATCATGTAGGCACAATATTACAGAACTTGCATCCGTTAGTAGGCTTTCTTTCTTTAAAGATGCTGGTTGAAGAGGTACATCTGATATTATTACAGCTTTCACTGTGTATAGAAACATAACTTTATTTATATGACTAATTCAGCAGGTCACTTTTTGTATCACAAGCATTTAGTCTATGAGGGGAGAGATCACTCACTCATCTCTGATGGCTTTTTCAAAGTGAGTATGCAAAACTAACATTTACATGTGTTACATCATACTTTTTATGCATGAGAAAATAGTTTTATGTCCAAATTCTCTTACTGTAGTTTGTTCACACCAATCATCAAGGTTTTGTTAGTTATCACATCCCTAAAGCATTCATGAGAACTATTGTGCGGCCATTTTAAAAGTCGTGTTCGGTTTGCAACTGATTTGGGAGAGAGTTTTGCTGTTGTGGTATGAATGATGAATTATTCTTTCGTTCTGGCATCGATGCCAGTGTGTGAACATGCCTGTGGTGTGGGATGGAATAAATGTGATGTTGATATCAAAAACTCAAGTGATTTTGCTTCATTGGTGTAATTTGGATAATTCATTGTCAGGTGTTAATCTGTTGATGTTCATCACCCCTAGAGCTTCTGACACTGATTGTGAAGAGATTTCGGTGGCCTGCTGTTACGTGATGTTCCTCAGTAGTGCTTGTACATTTCTTTGCGCACTGTAGGTTAGAAATTTGTATAATCTAAAAAACCTTTCAACAATTGATTGCCATTTTTAGTCAATCTTGCTTTCAATGTCACACAATAGGCTTTTTACACAGGGCTTTTAAATTTGTATTCAGTAAAAAAAAAAAATCTCTATAACTTTCAAGTATATGAGCACGTAGTTGGAAAAGTGAAGAGGCAATCAATTCAGAGTGTGTGAAATCATCAGGAGAGCAGCAATCTACAGATCCCTGACTGATATGCAGAAACAAACACAAGGGTTGTTAGGCTACGCTGAAACCCCACTGGCTCTCATTACAACCTGTTCAGAGTGTGACTGCGAGAGATGTGCCACATGTCACCGCTGTCTCCTGTTACACAACACCCTCTACTGCCTCTGTTAGTTTTATAAAGGCATTTGGATCAGTTTTAACACTTAAGAAACCATAACACCAAAAGCATCATGAACCGTTTTAAATTTGATCTTTCTTTTTTTTCAGGCAAAAACATGTAATTTTGTTAGTAATTTTTGATACAAAGTAACAAAAACTGGGTATTGATTTTTATTAACACACTACAAGTCAAATAATTTTAAGCATTTGCTCATAAGGCGTAAGATTAAAGGTTTGGAATAGTGATTCTCAATAAGGCTAACTTTTTTTTATTTTAGTTATCAGTTTCTCTCAGTTGCTTTGGTACATTTCTCAGATCACAATTGAAATCCTTGCGACTGCTTGTTCAACCTCCACATTACCTATTGTCACTTGTGCACATCATAAAAGCATTTTCTCTTTCGCTTAGATACATTCATGCAGTTGATTATGTACAATTTCCTTTTCCTTTAATCCCTCCCTTGTCTAGCTTATGCTACTATAAGCAATGACTGAAACTTTGTATTTTTGAGCACTTCTTGCGTTGTTTGCCTCTTCATGATGAATCACTTGCTGTATTCCTCGTTTGTAAGTCGCTTTGGATAAAGGCGTCTGGTAATTGACTAAATGCAATTGTGTTGCTGTATGTAAAAAAAAAAAGTAAAAACAAATAAGGATGATTAGAGAAATGTACCAAAATTACAAAAAAGTTCATCTTAATTTACACCCTACAAAACACTAAATATAAATATTACATTAAACTGAACTATATTTGGTAATATTACATTAAACTAAAAAATATTGAGTTTATTTTTATTACAATAAAGTACCTGAAGTATAAATCAGCTTAGATAGGATCCCCTTCAAAATAAATCCTCTTGGAAAGAGTCAGAAAGGTGTAGATCCACTGGTTTATGTGACAGGGATACAAAGATGTGCTTAAAATGCATTAGCCTGTTTGGTTTCTCTATTGAAATAAGTTTGCACTGGAGGTAATTCATAGCTAATGTTTACTCACCTGTAAATATTTGGCTTCCTTTATGAATGTGAGATTTACTTGATTATGATAAATTAATAAGACATGGTGAAATCAGTACATTAACTTTGCCTGCATAATCTTCAAACACTGTCTTTTGTTTGAACCATTTTATTCATCCACTAGAGAAAAAAAAATCCAGCTCTGCATTTGTGTTATAATAAGAAAAACAAGCCAACTGGAAAGACATCCCATTAGCAACAGGCTCTCTCTTTCACCTTTTTCAAGTAGATAAAACAAGTACATCTTTTTCATGTCTGTGCTTCTTTTCCAAGCCTGGAAACATTGCAGAATGATATTGATGCCTCTATTGATGACCTGAATGTAGGGCAGTATGTCCATCCGTCCATGAAGTGTGAATCAGATAGAAAGGAATTTGAATCCCTCAGAGGATGATGAGTGAGTTTCATGTAATAGTGTGGAAAGATTTACCAATCAATTGTTTATAAATTTAAGACCCCATAGCCTATAAAACAAGGAATTGATTACTCTACTTTAGGATGATGGTTATCATCGTTATCTGACGTGTGTAATGTGGGTCTTTATGCTAGTTCTGAGGATCCTCTGTAATATTAAAATAATAAATTATAATGTTGGTTTATTTAAAGTAAAACAGAAGAACTAAACTACAGAATGTCACACGTCACACCTGAACTCTGAAAGCTCTGACACAAAGTTAGACACCTTTTCCTGCAAACCCCTCTGCTTTTTGTTGCTCACCATATCAGCATTTTGAGAATGATTGTATTCTTTGATGAGCAGATTAAGGCTGTGCTTAATGGCTGCTTTAGATATGTGACTTCGGCTGTTGTCCATGCCATCTTTATTTTGTAAGTATCTTGACAATGACTTGCTGTCTTGGTCTTGCTGCTGTATATACCCATATAACAACAATGGTGTTCAAGCAAAGGGTTCCTCATTCCTGGAGCAGGACTCTTATGAAGAGTGACTTTTTGTCGTCTTTGATGCACTTGTTTTGCTCTTCTGTCAAGGGTGAAATGTCTAGGAGTCGAGGAACTGTTCTTCAGATCTGTCTCTGCGATATATGAAGGGCTCTTGGGCAAACTCTTCTGAGGACATCCATCACTTTTATCCTCATCTTTTTCACTGCATTCCCTTAAGGAGAACTCGAAATGAGACAATGAGGCTTTTAAGTAATCCTTATTGTTTTTTACATCCTTATGTGGTGAAATGTAAGTATTAGTGTTGGATTTTTTATACGTTTGTAGAGTCAATGTATGCTTTTTGACTTCTGACAGATCCCTTTCACAATCAACAGAGGTTTCATCACCCAAACCGTCATGCTTCTGGCTAAACATGCGTTTGGACTTCACTGAGTCACCGCTTTCAACATTGAAGTCAATATTTCCACATGTGTTTTCTTTCCTTGGATTCTTGAAAGTTGAAAAGGCCATACTCACTGATCTCAGATGAGGCTTCATGACAATATCCGCTTATCAGGTTTATGTCCATCAAGGTCTTTTGAAGCTCTTGTATTTCTTTGTTGATCAAAAACATTGATCTCCTGTGATCTCTGCACAGAATTACTCGCTCATCCACAAACCTTTTCATTTCATAATAGTTTTTGAAGTGTGCTCTCTGTAGATGTTCAACCCTCGATGTGTTCGCTTTTCTCGCTTTCAGAGCTCATGCCTCAGACAGATGAAACATGTAATGACTGTTCAGGAGCCTTGAGACGTGTGTGTTTGTGTTGTACCTCAGGGAACTGTTGGAGACCGTATATGTGCCGCAGATACAGGCATAAGACATTGGTTAAAAGGAAATAGTCCATCCAAAATACTATTCTGTCATTTACTCACCCTTATGTGAGTAAATGATGATATATATTCTGCCGATATTTTGAAGGATGTTGATAACAATTTGTTTTGGTTCCCATCGGCTTCCATTACATGGACAAAAATTGTAAAGTAAGTCAATAGGAACTGAAACTCTTTGGTTATCAACATTCTTCAAAATATCCCATTTTGTGTTCACCAGAAGAAGAAAAAAAAGCGCAGGTTTGGAAATACATGATGAGGGTGAGTAAATAATGACAAAATTTACATTTTTGGGTGGACTATTCCTTTGAATATTTGAAATATGAATCAAAAGTAAAGTTCTGTGAGAGATTAGCTTTATATGTGGCATGAATGACAATACAAATATGGAGAAAACACTCAACAGACTAAGGGTACTAAAAGGTCTAATTCACAAGGGGGCAGCAAACATCTATTTTTCATGGGGAAATCAGCATGTAACACACATGCTGTGTTACTTATATTATTGAGTCTAACATTTCATTAAAATTATTATTATAAATGGCAGCATAATACAAATGGCGCATCATACTGTGACACAGACTGAGTATGTAAGGCATAAATCTTTTACTCACCATTTATACTAGCCATTTTAATCATCAGTAGCCTAATAATCATTCTGAATGCCTCTAAAATCAGCCTCAAACTGGCGGTTTGGTTTGCATCTGCAGCACCATCTCCAAGTCTGCAGATCCAGCACTGATGCTTTTCTAGCGCATGTATTTTTTATCATAGTCTACATTGCATAAAATATTCAGATAGGACATTCACTTTTCTGAGCCCAGCCAGGCTACTGATCCCTCACCTAATAGTTGGATGAGCATCCAGGCCAAAGCCTAGAGCCGGTATCAGCAGACACCCGCCTGAATGTCTTGTCATGTATGACCATGACTCATTCCATCCGTCCCGCATCCGAAAACACAGCGTCAAATCAATCACATCTTAAATGTCTGTAAAATAGGCTGAATAACTTCTGCTAAAGTATTAAACATGTTTCATCACATTTTTCATGGTTTAGGTAAGAGATTTCTTGAGGCTGGTCTTTCAGGACATTGGACAAAATAATCCAAAATTCTACAGCAGAGCTAAAAGCTTCCCTTTAAAGCAGTTGTTCTCAATCTTGGTCCTAGGGAGCCACTGCTCTGCACATTTTATATGTCTCCTTTATCTGACACACCCACTTCAGTTAATAAAGCTCTTTCCTAACGAGCTGAGGATCTGAATCAGGTGTGTTAAATGAGGGAGACATACAAACTGTGCAGAGCAGTGGCTCCCTAGGACCAGGATTGAGAACCACTGCTTTAAAGGGATAGTTCACCCAAAAATAAAAATTCTGTCATCATTTACTCCCCCTCACGTTGTTTCAAACCATAGTTTCAAACCTGTATGAATTTATTTCTTCTGCTGAACACAAAAGAAGATACATTAAAGGATATGGGTAACCAAACAGTTGATGGTAGCCACTGACTTCCAGAGTATGGAAAAAATCTATCAATTGTTGGGTTACTTACCGACATTCTTCAAAATATATATTTTTTTTATGTTCAGAAGAAAGAAATTCATACAATTTTGGAAAAACTTGAGGATGAGTAATTGATGACAGCATTTTCATTTTTGGGTGAACTATCCCT